TACAGTGACTTCAAAGAGCAATTCAAGTATTTTGGTCAAAGGAAATCAACTTTGGTCGCGTAAGTAAAGTTGTTCAGTAGTTTCGAAAATATGTGCATATAAAATTTATTATAATTGGATTAATGGTTGTAAAATTATGAACGTTTTTTGTAATTGAATTAGCAGTCACCTGATTTGCAGATTTATCGCAACTTGTAATTTTAAATTTTGCAGTTAAAATAATTATATTAGTATCTTTTTTTTTTAAAAAATATATTTTTTAAAAAAATATTAAACAAAATTAATAATTGTTTAGTTTCCTTTTTTAGACAGGTTAGGTCAGGTCAAATGTATATTTAATTCAGGTCAATTTTATGTCTGACCTGACCTGACTTTATCAGGTCAGGTCAAGTCAATTACCCAATCTGACCCGATCTGTTCAGAGCTCTAGAATTAATTCAAGTTAATTCAAAACTAATTTTGAATAAATTTTTAATCAAGTATTACTAAAACTATTTTACTATTATATTATTTTGACATTGAGCCAAAAATTTTGAACAAAAACTCTGTATGTAGTTCTATCATTTTGCTTATCTATATTTATAACATTTTGAATATAAAGTGCAGAGTTTTCTTCTTGTACAAGTTAATAAATTTGATCATATCAAGTATAATTACCTAAAACTAAAAAATAAGCTTCACTATGTATTGCATTTCTTCTATTTTTCTTAGCATATTTGGAATGTTAAATGTGAATTATAGGCTTTCCAGAGTATATAGGAGCTTGAAAATATACATTATAAATTTCATTATCATATGTAAAAAATTCTACTGTTTTACTGCTTGCATAAGTAATATTTGTGCATAATATTCTGTAATTGCATTATCTACACCAACACTTATTAGATTGATATTTGCTTAAATTGATATTTCTACAAATTTTTTTTTAAAATTTCATAAATTTTCTGAATAGTAAAATTATCCTTTGTTAGTAATAACGCAATTACAACTGGTGGAATTCTGCTAATAGGAATTTATTAAAAAAATTTTATTATTGTAATGCAATGGTTTTATTATCTTGAATTTCTTTAATCTTTAAATAAATATCATCATATGTTGTTATTTGTATATTATTAAAACTTAAAATGAATACAATTATACATCCTAATTCTTGTGAATAGGTTAATTTAGCACGAACTTTGGTACAGTCTGTCATATCAATAATTGATTCTGTTCACTTTAAAGCCTTTATAGTACAAGAAAATCAAGCTACATTCTCATACATAAGGTTAGGATTAGTTAAAAAATCACTATTTTGAACACGTAAATATCTAAAATGTTTTTTTAAAATTATTAGAATTAAGTCTTAAATTTGATTTTATTTATATGCGTGATACATTACCTTATAGATTGTGGATCTATTCCTTCTAACATTTTGCAAAATATATTATATTCTCTACTATTATCTGATAATAAACTAAAGAAATGGTAAAGATGTTCAGAATAACGTAATGCTCTTTTACTCTTTCCTTATTTCTGAATTTTTTTAATTTGAAGCATTAACTTCACCAGTTCACCAAAAGTTTTATCTGTTTTAAATAAACCTTTTTTCCATATTTAGCTAGTTTTGATCACATTTAATATTCATCTGATTCTTCAACTGCATTTTCATATAAAAGTTTAATTTGATATTACCTAAAAGTTGAACTAGTCTATTATTCTGAATATGCCACTTTGACGTATATTTAAATGTTTTTTCAATTACACATGCCTATAATGTAATAGATTTAATTAATAATGTATATAAAAATTTTTAAATATGTAAAGTAAAAAAAAATTATAAATGAAACATACTATACTAATAGCTTTACAAAAACGTGGATTGTTTCTTAATTTATCACATTCCTTGTATATTTTGGATTTATAAATAGTAAATTTTTTACATTTAGTATTTATTATTGATAAAGTCCTTGATCTAAAAACTATGTCGCATATGCTTTTTGTAAGTTATAAAGCTCTTGTCGCTCATTAAAGTTTATCTTGCTATAAACTAAATGCTTATTTTTAAATTTATTTAGAAATAGCTGACAAGCAAGTTCTGATTCACATTTTAATCCACCAAATCAGATGAACAATAAAGTATATATTGTTTAATTTAATTATTTAATAAACCTTGGCAGGAATAAGATTGTTTTTTAGATAATGGTATTTCGTTACTATTGATTTTATAATATTTTTCAATATTACATTGACCTTATGTTTTAGCATTACATACTCTTTTGTTACATATATGACTTTAAAAAAAAATAGATCAATTAAAATATTCCTTAATAAATTATAAAATTCCTTATATTTTTAAGTTCTTTACTAAGTATTGTTTGTATAATTTTATGTTTTTTCCACATATATTTTGAATTAATTAATTATGAAAAGTATTTATGATAATACAATTTTTTTTCTTTAAAACACATATGAAGTTTTCTATTAAGAGAAAATTCATTATATTTATTATCACTACTTTTATCAAAGTTATCATCATACTCATCAGATTCATTATTAGAATCTATATCATTATATTACTAAAAGAACGTTTTTTATTGATATAGTTAGTAATTGTAAGAAAATTAAGTTTTGTTTATTGTAGTTGTTTTATTAGTTTTAAAGATGTAATCATATGGTCTACAATTTCTTCTTCAATACTAGTAGTTTGATTTTTATTTTTTTTAATACTTGTTAATACAAGAAAAGAAAGCGTTGTTTGTTACATTTTTTTTATTTTTGTGAAAATTCTCTTCTTTATTGTAAAAATTTTTTTAAGTATAGATTTCTAATTGTCATACTGTATTTTATTACAATTTGTCATAATCCTCCAGTTTTATAAAATTTTACGGTAAAAATATTAGTTACGGTATTTTGCAGTAAAAATATCAGTCAATGATAAAAATAATTTTTACAAGTTTATTTGACTATTAATATGATTAGCTAGTGATCAACAATATTTTATTAAATATAATATATATATGCACATATATTGGATATATATATTTTACTCATGCTATTAATAAAGACCTTTTGCAAACTATTAATAATTTTACCCTAATATTAGTAAAATTATAATAGTAATATTAATTATCAATAATAATTCCAAATGTTTCAGAAATTGGAGAATATTCAAATTGCTTATGAAAAAAAATCCAACGATCCCTTCATAAATTTTACAAGTTTGATTTATACTTGATTTACTATATTATTGGAAGTGTTTGAAGGTTTTACTTCTCCAAATATAATTTCATTTTCTTTATCAAAAAGGACTCAGAAATACAATTTCCTTTCATATTTGTAGTTATTAGATTTTTGTCATTCCTTCAAACTATTAAATTTACTATTGACCCTAATTTTATCAATTTAAAAATTAAGTATTCATGTATATTGAATAATTTATACTAATGAGTATTTCATTTACCAATGACAATATCTGTGAACAAAAGTGTTCTTATCCATAACATTTTTAATGCTGTTTGATAGTAAGTTTAAGAAACTGTGAAGTAAATATATCATTAATATAACAATACAAACATAACAAAAAAAATATGAATTCTTTAGATTTAAAACCTACAAATTTCTTGTCACAAGTTGAACACAATCAAACATGCTTCTTTTTTCTTTGGTCATTGAAAAATTCCATTTGAGCCAATTTTGATGCCATTTTACATTCAACTCCTCTTTATTATTTAAAAGCTAAATAACAGATAGAAATAAATCATTATTATTTATTATTTAATATAATGTTCCAGAAGAATCTTACCATACTAATGTTTTAGGCGAAACTATTTTCTCGAATCCAAAACTTTTCGCCCAGTGAACTTTCAGTTTAGTCTCATATATCAGAAACTATCCGAAACCTTAATTTGGAAACACTTTATAGATCAAATTGGGCGAAACTAGTTTCGCTCGAAATATTATACCATACTATATTCCATTATATTCAGTTGAACACTTATTAGAAAAGATGCTGGAGTTAAAGGTTTAGGTAACGCAGTTTTTCAAACTTGATCAGAACATTTTACATATTTCAGTTTAACCTCTTTTACATAGATAGGATGAGTGCTATGAAAAGGGACCAAATTGAAAATTTTTTCAAAAATTTATTCTCAAGTGAATTAGATGTAACTTTTATCATTTGATCCAAAACTTTAATTATTTTAAAAAATTTTTTTTACAATTTGGTCCCTTTTTGTAGCACTTACTCCAGATGATTGATGAAAGACACCTGTAATAATGTACAAAAGTTAAAATATTGAAGAAATAGATCAACTTTGCATGAAAATATACTTACAAATTTCATTAACATTAGTCACATATCATTCTTCAATTGTTCAACCGTACTTGCTTAGAAATTACAAAAATCCTTAGAAATATTATAGCCATTGCCAACCACTATAGGTAAAAAATAATGATTAATGAACATTTACTATATAATGATGAAGTTATAATATTTCAATACTTACATCATAATCTGAATTAATAGAAATTTTTATTTTATTAACAATGTATTTCCACGAAAGTATTGTCTTTGACTGCATAAATATTAATTGATTAACTTTCACGAACTTGACTAGTTGTAGTTAATTATTTAAAAAAACCAGCATCAATCACATTTTCTGAATCTATTTCGACAACACTTTTCATAATTTCATTTATATCATGCATATTATCTTACAATTCGCCATTACCAGTTGCAGACATAGATTGACTCTGGATCACTTTAATCTGTATAATATAAAAGGAGAGAAGACAACTTTGTGGGCTAATAACATTTATGCTTTCATACTGACTTTTTTGATGTCTTCAGAATCAAGTTAGTCTTTTGTATGTTTTCTTGGATTAGTTTACAAAATAATAATTGGATAAGCCTATGGTTGTGAAAAAAGTTATAAAGAATTCAGATAGCTTGCAGATAAAACTTTCTACTTACATCATCCTTTTCCAAATCAAGTGGTTGCCTAAAAGTTGACATAGAGTCAATGATGCTATTAAGAATTTCAGTGTGAACCTTTGCTATTGATTTTGCTTCATCCATATAAGTAGAAATAGTAGCTTCTCTCTGCATGTTATATAATAGGAGGAATGAGTTTTTGTTTAAAAGATTAGCAACAGAAGAAATCCTTAAGCTCACCCTAATTGTTTCAACAGCTAAACAAGTTTTCACACCTTTGATGAATTTCTTGTAGCCAAAAAAAAACAATAATTAGCTATCTGGCAGAAATAAGCACAAAAATATTTTCTATTGTATTTTGAAGAAGATCGCCAGTGATAAGCAGTCATCATCGGATGATAAGCAGTTTTCCAGCTAGCTACCAAAAGGATATCGACAAGCAGTCAATCACCAGATGACAAGCAGTTTTTTAGCTAGATATAGGTTTTGAAATTAAAATAGTAAATAATTATTAGTAAAGTATTAGTAAATAATTTTCAAAAAAGCTCTGTTTACTTTCTTTTACTATTTTACAAAACTGTAATTTTTACTTAAGTTTCAAATGTTTATAATATATTATGATGTAATAACATAATACGTTAAAGATTATAATAAAATTTTATTATATCACAAAGTAATAAAATCAAATATTGATCTTTTTATATTATATAACATTTGATGTCAATTGATTTAAAGTAATAAAAAAGATGCAATATTTTTTTCAAAAACTAATTTATTATTATGCAGTTTTTTTCATTAATATATCATTTATTCCTTTTTTTATATTGGATAAAAAAGCATTTGATATAGATGAATATTGAAGTTTAAGATTTTATTAATTAATATATGGAAGACAGTCAGTAGAAAAGAGGAAAATCAAAAATTTTTATTAATTTTAATTATTAAGCTAATTTTGTGCATATGACCGAGATCAGCCAAGTGGTCTAATAATATAAATTTTGACCAAAATTTGGATTTCCCCTTTTCTACTGACTGTATCCCATATGTATATTAAAATATATTTTACCAAGTTAAAAGATTTATCTAAGACTTATAATAGAGCTGATCATAATATTATAAAACTAATTCTTAAATACATTAAAATTCCTGAAGATCGAAAATAATATGTTTAATAATGTATAATATAGGAGGCGGTCAGTAGAAAAGGGGAAATCCAAATTTTGGTCAAAATTTATATTATTAGACCACTTGGCTGATCTTGGTCATATACACAAAATTAGCTTAATAATTAAAATTAACAAAAATTTTAGATTTCCCCCTTTTCTACTGACCGCCTCCTATATATGTAAAAAACAGTATAATAAAATTTATAAATAATATATTAAAGGATATTAAATCCTTTTTAAATTTTAATATTTTAAAAAAGTCAATCAATTTTTATTTATACAAGAGTGTCTAAATATGTATCACATGTAGGGTTGGTAAAAGTCCTAATTGATCCTAATTGGTTTTGATTAATTTTAAAAAATTATTAGTTTTAAAGATTAAATTTTTTAAATATTATTATTATATTCAATTTTTTAATTAAAGTTACTTATTAAAATAAGTTTAAATTTCTTTTTA